CGTATTCGAACCAACTACATTTTTCTAAGCAGAGACTCAGCATACGGTTTCCGTTCTCATTCCTTCTCGGGTCCCCAAACGGCTCAGTCACTTTTTCTGTTTTCTCTCATCTCACGCCCACTCGTCCGTTCGTGTCGCCCAGCAGAATAATTTTCCCCCAGCGTTACATCTCTTTAGAAAGTTGCAGAGTTATCGCCGTCCTGCCTGCAGGTTCCTATTTCTAGATGCGCCCGCAACAACTTAAGTCGAGGCCAGATCTGTTTTTCTGTCTCTCATTTCAATTCTCGCCCTTTCCCGGTGTTCTTCTTACTTGCCGAACGGGACCCTTTGTCCCACCGCTTCATCTTCGAGCAGGGCGTTCCCTCTGCCTGCCAGGAATCTTGCTGGTGCCGCCGCCGTGTCTCTTATTCATCCCGGGACAGCTCAGAGCCTGTTTCCTCTGCAAAGGCCCGAAACGTGTTTCCAAGTTCCAGGGGTGCAGAATGTCTCCTCTCGCACCGGGCATTCCCCTCCGCCGGGCTTGCTCGCTTGTTCGTTGTGCGTCTTACGGAGAGTGGGTTCGGTCGCCTCTTCTCGGAATCCATCCATCGGCTGAAATGCGGCAGTCGACCTTTCCAAGGATTGCCACCCGCTTGCCTGAGTCACCCAGACAGGCCGGGGGCTCTCAGGCAGGACCCCAAATGCCCCACAGGCGTTGCACCGAGAACTGCACTTCAAGTCACAGTCCTCCATGTGATGTGGTTCTCCTCAGACGGGTTCAATAAATTAGGACCCCTGCCACCCATTGTGGTTGGGGTCAGTCAGGGCTTTGACATAATGTTTTTTAGCACGATAGAGAAATTGCAGACTAGGCTTCAACCTCGGTTGAACCCGTGCCATATGCAACATTCCCTGCTAAGGGTAAGGACAGTAGCAGGCACTTCTGGCTCAGTTTAACCAGTGTACCCAAGTGCGACCAAAGCCAAGTTTGCCCCCAAATGTGGTCACCCTGTTCTTTGCAGGCTAGTATCTCTGATCTAAAGACAACCTTACAACTAAGCCCACATTGCTCCCTTTCCATCCGGTCTGCTGTTCTTGACAACTTTTACCTTTTTTTCCCCTTCCTTTTAACTGATTTTATCATAGTTCCTTGTTTTGATGGTTGTGGGCTGCCCAGAGTTGTTGGGAGGTGGGTGGCATACAAGTTTAATAAATAAATAAACAAACAAACCCAACATACATCCTGTTGCCTGCATCCCACCCACTAGGTGGTGTGGGCAGTGCACTGACACACACGCTGGTGCTCTGGCTGCTACTGTACTTCTAAGCCATCCGGGAAGTGAATCCCTGGCCAACCTTTACCCCCTTCTGCCCGCACAGACCCTCTTCTCTCTCAGAGTTCTACTGCTGCCAATCCTGTACCCCGAGATGCCAGCTCGGTGCAGAGGCCTCCCAGTTTCCTGTTCCGCTCGTCCTCCCGAAAAAGTATCCAGCAGAGTTCTGGTGAGTGTTCAGGAGAAGGCGGGCCCATAAGAATCTTCCCCTATATCAGTTTGCAGACCGGCTAATGGCCACCTGGACATGTGGCATGAAACACGGAAGAGACTGGAAAGTGGGTCCTTGCCATTGTAGGAATCGGGAAGGACTCTGACGGGGAGAGAGAAGAGAGGGGAGACCCCAGTGTTAGGAAGTGAGAGGGGCAAGAAGAGGACGGCACCATTATACCTAGAGGAATTTCTCTCCGCCTCGAATATTAGGGCTGTCTAGGGCCATCTAATGGAGATGAACTGTGGGGGCTTCAGGGCAGACCAAAGATCCCCTCACACAGCCCGGGATCCATCTCATTCTTTATGAAAGTTACCTGACTGCCTGAAACCGGGCAGACTCTAGGTGGCTTACAGAATTTATGCCATAAATAGAATACACCTGAGAATAAAATTAATATATATATTAAAATGGCAATTTTAATACACAGTGCCTCTACACGAGCCCTGGAAAGAACAAGTGGTCGAGCCCTGCAGAACGGAGAGTTTTGCAGGCTCCGTCCCACTCCTTGTGGCTTCACAGTCGCTTCCTGCTGGGGACCAGGAAGCGGCATGCTTGTCTAGCCAGGGTTTGGGCTGAGCCAGATGTGCTGCCATGCTTCTCTTCAGAAGCATAAATGCTCAAGATCCTGATTCCCAGGCAAAAGTGGGATCTGCAGAGATGACCTTGATGGAGGAATGCAAGCTCCCTTGCCAAGGCAACAAGGGTTAAAACAATTCAGGTCCAAAACGTCCAGGTACCATTCGGAAGCAGCCAGCAGACCCCCGCCCCCAATTTGCTGGAGGAGCAGCAGCAGCAGCAGCATTGCCCAACCTGCCGGATCCGGTCACTGCGGCTGGTTTCCGTAGCAGTGGCTTCAGCCTTCCCGTGAAGTTGATTTCTTGGCCTGGTCTGCCTAGTGGGGCTGAGAGGACCCGGATAGTGGGCTGACCCCTAGAAGCTGGCCTGCTGCCGCTTCTGCCGGTGCGGAGTTGGATCCTCGCTCCGAGGCAGCAGCTCCAGGAGACCAGGCTGCCCTGCTGGGAGGGCCAGGCCCGACCCGGCCCGGCCCAGCAGCTGTGGGCTCCCCTGACCTCCGCGGAACAACTCTTTCCAGGTTCGCTCTCGCCTGAGCTCGGCGGCCGCTTGAGGTCCCGGGCTGGATCCCAGGCCCTGGAGGAGAGGGAGCTACTCAGCCAGCTGCGCAAGGTAGGGCTGCTGGGGGCTGCTCGGCCCCCCGCTGGGATTGGGGGACGCAAGCCTAGGTCCGGCTGTTCTCAACACGTGCCCTTCGCTGTTCCCACACTTAGCGGAGCAGCTTCCGTGTTTCGGGTTGCAGCTGGGAGGTGTGGGTGTTTCAGAGAGGGGTGTGGGTCAGGAGGGAACGAGGGAGGGCTGGAGGTGGGGCCGGCACGGACACTGGGCAGGGAGCAGACCAGACCGCCTGCTTCTCCCGCCCAAGACCTGCTGCGGGCAGAGAGCAGCTGCCGAGGCCCAGCAGCCCAGGCAAACCCTTGGGTGCCCCTCAGGCGTTGCCACATTCTTAAGCCCGGCACTCCAGCCTCAGATCGAGGGACTGTCTTGACGACAAAGATGGTTGTGCCTGTCCAGCCTCTGGAGCGGCTCCTTTCCCCCTCCCCAGGCAATCGAGTCCCGTCTGAACCTTACGCTGGCTGAGGACTTGGGCGAGGCTCTGGCGGACGGGGTCATCCTTTGCCAGCTGGCAAACCATCTGTGCCCGCGCTCTGTGCCCTTCATCCACGTGCCGTCGCCTGCTGTGGTGAGCCCTTTTGGGGGGCAGCTCTCCCTCCTGCAGCAGGGCGGCCGCAGAGCAGCCAAGCTGCCCCTGCTGACCTTGGACTGCCCGAGGGTCCTGCGGGCTGAAGTTCAGTGGTACCTTGAGCTCCCCTGCCTGGGCCAGGTGCTGCCTGTGTGCGTCCAGCGGCTGAGCCTCCTCGCTGCCCTTGGCCACCGACCCCCCACCTTTTCTTCTTTGCAACAGCCAAAGCTGAACGCTGTCCAAAGCCGCAAGAATGTGCAGAGCTTTCTGGCCGCCTGCCGCCAGCTTGGGATTCCTGAGGTGAGGGTGGGCCCACGGGAGGCAGGGGTATGCAGTCCCAGGGGGTGGGCTCCCCCCAGGAGTGGTGCCAGCCCCCGCCCCTTCCCCACAGTTCTGCTCAGGGCCGCTTTCGTTCCTTCCAGGCCTGCTCTGCGCGCTCTCCCTCCTGTGTTCCTCCCGTCCCCTTCTCCTCAGCTTACTTACTCTCGTAACATTTACGTGCCCGTCCTTTTCTGTCCTCTGTTCTCTCCATGTGCCGCAGGTGTCTCTCTGTGGTGTCTCAGACATTGCCCTCCTCCTCCAAGGCAACGTCCGTGGCTTCCTGCGCCTCCTGGAAGCCCTGCTGCTGCGCCCAGTGGCAGGGAGTCCCCTTGTCCCCGCCGCCCTCTCCGATCACCTCGCAGGCTTTGGTGTCTTCTATGCCTTCGTCATGTTGCTCTTGTACTTTGCCTATTGCAAGCTGTGTGGCTGCTGCTGCTGCTGCTGAGGGCTCGGACGCCCTCCCTCTGGCCGCCTAGCAGAGCAGGGTCTCCTGGCTGCCAACACAGCAGCGCCCGCGGAGCCGGCCCCTCTGCCAGCCGTCCCGCCCTGCCTTTCCTGGTCAGGGTGCTGCAGAGATTCAGGCCTTGGTCGGGCGGCTCCCTTGGGAGGGACGTCTTTCCTCTCGCGTCAGACCGCTAGCCGGCACCCAAGCACATGACAAGACCCCCTTCTTCACCAGGCAGAATGGGTGGGGAGCCACTGGGGATCAGCCGGGGTCTCCTGACTCCTCCGAGGCTGCCAGTCCCCCCAGCTTCAGATCCGCCGTGGCCTGCTTGGTCACGCCTGTGCCTTCTCCTGGACACGACGCCCAGGAAACTGCTGCCATGGCCTTCGTTCCGGACCCCGACCCGGTGCGCTTCTGCTCTGCTGCTCTCCTTCCCAAGTGCCTCCTGGGGCTGGATGGCTGTAGGTCCGCCCCGCCAGGCAACGCGGAGGCCTCCGCCTGCTTTTTCCCCACAAGAACTGAGCTGCTTCAAGCACAGCAGCCCTTCGTTTTAAAAATGGCTACTTTTCCAGTCCCCATACGGGCTCGCACGCTCTTCTGGCCAAAGGTTGGAGCCTCTTCTAGCGTTTGCAGAGCTTCCTGGCTATTTTGCGCTCTGAAACGCAGGTCTGACTTGCTCCCCCTCTATCTGCCAGCTGGGAACTCGAGGTCCTCTTGGCAGGCGGCCCAGACCCTCCTAGGGCTGCGGGCCAAATGGCCACAAGTTTCTGTGGCATCCGGGCACTCCGTCCCTACGCTTGCCACAGCAGTGGCCTAATCCCGAGGCAGGTGGGACGTGCTTTTGGAAAACCTCTGTCTACAGCTGCCAGGGGTGGTGCCTGCCTGCGTTCGAGGGTGGGTGCCGGGCCGTGGTCTTCTGCACCTGAAGGCTCCAGGTGCCTCCGGTCTCTCCACCCAGAGCCGTGAGCCATGAGCCGCCCCTGCACTGCTGGTCAAGCCCCAGTTAAATGGAAATGCCTTAACGGGAGAGCGCGATTCCCCTTCCTGATCTGGGCCCTTTTGACAACACTCCCCATGTGCTGCCTTAAATATATTAAATTATATATACACGTATATATATATTTTATAGACCCCCCCCAGGGTATATCTATCTATGTATCTCTCTGAAGATAGGACTACAGGATATTGTGAAGATTATTCTTTTCAGCGCGTGTACAATATTGT